GGGTAGGTGCAGAAGCAGAACTGCTGGTGCCACTACAGCATGATTCCCATCAGCTCTCAGCAGGCAGAACTGCTGGTGCCACTAAAGCATGATTCCCATCAGCTCTCCTTGTTCTTTTTCACTACCAGCACCCCCGCTACTACTACGACGATTGCTGCTGCTGCTGCCGCTGCTGCTGCTGGCTTCACCGCTTGCGCATACGAGCATGGCACGAAAGTCACTACGCCAATATGATCCGTGAATACATGTTCGCATTCCTCGCACAACACCTCTTGGTTAAGATGGTTAGCATCTTAGTTCCGGTCTGTTAGTCCATCTAGTTAGTGGGGCAAACCTGTATGTACAACATACATAGAATACTCGTACATAGGTCTTTACATATATATATATATATATATACATATACACTTATATATATATATATATACATGTATAGATAGATACATACACACATATTCAACTGTAATTATGCTTCTCTTCATAGCTCCGTACTCCGGTATCCTGGTCGGCGTGTTGTGGAAATTGGAATCTTCTGTCAGGTTTACGCTGCGAAGCACACACCCTGAGGACCAGACCCGAGGATTGGCAAATGTCCCATAAGTGCGACCGTAATGGTAGTGACCTGGTAGTGACGAGTGGCACTACCAGCGGTATCCCCCCAGAACAAGTAATTCAGACCCTGCCCTGATTTGGGGTCCCAGTAACAGGATCCCATCTAAAGTCCTTGTTAATGGATCCAGGGGTTTAGATTGGTTTTCTTGGTCTTGAGGCTTTGGAGGTGGTGGGCGCCGAGAAAGACATCTGGAAGGGGCAGCGGGCTCAGCTGGAGGTTCGCGAAGAAGCTCGCGAAAGTTGAAAACTGGATGGGGTGTGATCGGGCTTGGGGTTGAGGGCTTTGGGTTTTGGGGGAATTAGGGCCTGGCTTTAGTCTTGCAGTTTTGGACACAGGAGAATGACATGTGCGACAAAGAGGTTAGGGGTGCCACGTTTGTCCACTGCCGCCCCTAGTCTGGAGTCGGATGCTTTGTAAACAGTGCAAGCCTTGATTGGCACTCTGCAGCTGCAGTTCCGGGCAATTGCCGCAGTAGTTTCCAGAAGCCCAATTGTGCACCAGGCCTCGAAACTACAAACGCTTGAAGTGCGCCTAACCCCCAAAATCCTAAACCCCAATCTCAAAACCCCAAACAAAGCCCTAAACCCTACAGCCCCAACCCTACATCCAATCCTAAGTGCAGCATGTGCACTTCCGGATGGTTCCCGCGGCTCCAAGGCACCCCATCCCAGTCGCTGTGAAGCACAGTTCTCCTCCGACGCAAGCCGCGCTCTCAAAGAGAAGCCAGAGATCCATGCTTTCAATGTTTTACAGTTTTGAACAATGCAGTCTAAGTCTAATATCATAGAACATAGTAGACTGTAGTAATGTAAGCAGTAGTAGGCAGTTTGGAGTGGTGGTGCATGGGGTTGGAGGTAGCCAGTGTCGCAAATAAGAGTCTTTCACCAGTCAGATTCCCAACCCGCAAAGTCCGCTAAGTTCTACGTTTGCCCTCTTCTCCGAACTCTACCTAGTTGGTTTCTGTCTCTTTGTTCTCCTCAAGAGTGTACATTTTCTCTGCATGCTGGTGCTTCTTTGTCGAAGCTTGTCATCAGAGCCTTCCATCACCAGAGTATGCCATCTCAAACGATGACGATGACGCCTGCGGTGCAACCGTGGCTGGGGTCGATACTGCGTTTCAAAGAAACTCAAGGTTCGAACGGATGGGCCGAGCATATTTGCAAGAGTTTGTGATGCCGAAAGCTACCAACACGGCCTCGATGCGATTGCTGGGGCATTCGTGTCGTGCTTCAGGGCAGAAGTCAGAGCCCAGCCAAAACGTTTGTGTCCGCCCGTGGCAGTTCGACTCTCTGCAGTGCGAACCCTCGAACATCGAAGAGCAAAGAATTATGCGCCGATTAGATTGTATCAAGAGTTCTCATCCATGATATCACCATTTACCAGTCAACATTGCGAGGACGGCGTATATAGTTCTTGTACCAGTCCCCTCAGTATCTTTCGCCCAGAACAGAAGGGTATATAAGCATTATTCAGAGTATCACTGGGGTCGCACCTCATGGCAACCTAGCAGCTACACCGTCTCAGGAACACTGGGAGGCTGCTCTCTTGGAAGCAAAGGCAGGGGATCCGTCTCTGCATGTAAGCATTTAGCCCCGTGACGAGGCTGTGATACAGTCCAGCCGACCCAGCAAAGACGGCCCAAAGTTGCTCTGGTTTAGTCACGCTAAAAACACCAAAGGAAGATGTCAACCGAGAGGCAGACTCTAACGGCTTTGGCTTTGGATCAGGTGCCAGGCAGGCTGCACGAGAAACTCGTTGAATCAGCACCGGATCCCTCGACCTGCAACAGGTTGACCCCGACGACTGTATGTTACTGGTATTTTCCTACCAGAATCGTCGTGATTGCGCCAGACATCGTTGGGCCCCCTCCTCGTCCTCGCCGTCCTCCTCGTCTGAACTACCGTATCTTGCGTGGATTTTCTGATCTGTAAGATAACCCCTTGCGGACACTTGCGTTTAGCACCCTTCCTGGACTGTTTGAAGCCATCCAGTTAGTGTCCAGCACATCGTTGGGTGAGCTTCATTAACTTAAGGATTTCGGGATTTGTGATTTTGTACTATAGCCGTGTCGGAATTGGAATGGGGTGCTTTTCGACCTTCCCTACACCCTTAACCCAAACCTGGCGGACCGATTTGGCCGCCCGACACCGGCAGATGGACACTTCCAGGTGGAACAGGCGCCCAACAAAAAGAAAAGACCCAAACCCCAAGCCCTCTGAGCCCCTATGCACCCATCTATGAACCTCTATGAGCCCCTATGACTACATCGGATTGCCAGATCCTTCGAGAGATGGCAGACCCCTGCTTCGATGGACTCCTGCCGAGGCACCTTCTAGTCTGGACCCTTTGAGGCTTCCTTTAAGGGGTCCTTAAGGGTTCCTTGGCTCGGGGTTCCTTTAAGGGTTCTATAAGGGCTTCAAGGTTTAGGATCTGTAGACTGTAAGGGTTCTATAGGGGTTCTGCAAAGGTAGGTTCTATTCGGGTTTGTATTGTGGTTCCATGAGAGTTCTACCCGGGGGTGTATACGGGTTCTGTAAGGTTCGATAAATGTCCTGTATGGGCTCTGTAAGGGTTCTAGGTTCTTTTGCGGTTCTTCAAGGCTTTGAAGAGGAAACACAGGGGCCCTTGGAGAAGTTTTCTGGCCAAAGAGGGTCTCGGATTTTGGGTTTAGGGTTCAGGGAAGTCTTTTGGTTTCTTTCGAAACAAGAAGGCCATGAGTATCCGAAGGTGCGTACCGGGGCTCATGGCGATTGCACTCGGTGACTACTCTTTTAAAAGAAGAAGGAAACGGGAACATGGGGACCCGAGCTTTAAGCTGTGAGGTACATCAGCCATGGCGTGATCCCGCCGCCGCCGGGCAGTGGCATCCAAGCTGAGGCTCAAGAGACAAGTAAGAAGGGGAGTCAGGATGACCACCGTAGCCGTAGTGATAGCCTTTCTATTGGTTCCGGCTCCGGAGTTTGAACCTGAGCTGAAATCTGCAGGCAGAGGTTCTGACCAGACGTATTTGGCGAGCGCAATCCGGCCTAGCATCAGGTTGTCCTGGCGATGACAAAGCTACCAGGCAAATCTCTGGAATTTTGGCCCGGCTCTTAGTCCGATTGGAAGCCACGGTGCGTGGACCGAAAGCGTTGGGGTTCAAATGTTTTTGCAAATTCTGTTGCCTGGGCGCAGCCAGTTTCTCTGCCATGCACGCGCCATTGGTCAGTGAATTTAGCGACGACTACCATGATGGTGGCGATTGATATCGGAGATGATGATGTTTAGCTGACACTGCTGCTGTTCTTGATGATGATGTTTGCCAATGTGTCCTCAATGTGAATGAAAACGCTGGCACTCGTAGTGAATCGCAATGATACGGAGGCTGGTATTGAATTCGTCTAGTCAACATTGATGCACATCTTGAGGGCACTGATGATGACGATGATGCTGTCCTTTTCCATGAGATGGCGATGGCATTCGTGGTGGTGCTAGCAAAACTGGTATTGAGGCTTGTGACGTATTGGGTGTTTTCATGTCTTCTTCATCGCCACCATCATCAGGTGCTTATTAGGGGTATTAAGGCCCCCCTACCCCTTACCCCCATAAGGGTCCCTACGAACCGTGCCTGTCAGGATGTACGGCATTGACACGAAGTCGTTCAAGTCGGTCAGCCGGAGCCTTCACCTGGGGTTCGTGATTAGGGCTCTGCGGTCTTCAGCTTCGAGCTTTGGGCCTGCGCAGCGGTATATAAGGCTATCAGCTGTGCATATACACATGAGCGCATGCACATGAATGCATATGGATATGTATATATGTACAAATGTATATATGTATATGTACATGCCTATTAGTATGAATATGTATGTATGTGTATATGTGCAACTACATGTACTGTGCATATATATATATATATATATATATATATGTGTATATGTACTGTATATATGCACGTGCATTTGTATGGGTAGAAGTACATGTGCATGTATATGTATGTGATTTGTATGTGTACAATGCATACATACACATACACAGACTTTTTTGTGATTGCATAGGCTCCCCTGCATTTGCATCTAAGAATGGTGTTGATTTTGTGGGACAGATGGGAGCAAGATCACGGAGGAACCGCAGACTGCGAGCTTTCACCCACGAGATTCAATCCAAAGCGGCCCTTCCCATGGTGAATGTCCCGGCCGGGGACGGTGTCTGAGGCATTCGAAAGATGGTCGATGGGCACCTGCCCGGTGCTTGCGGCACAAGGACACTGCGAGAATGTGCGCTCCACACGTGTCAGGACATGCTTAGAGCTTTGAGAAAGCCCTAAAAGTAAGAACCCTTCGCTCCACTGCACTCCCAAGAGACTTGAACGGAGCACGGTCCCTAGAGGCGTCTTGAACATTGCGCCGACATGTGTCTCGCCCTGGCCTCATCGTGTGTGTGCAGGGGCACCTAAAAGGGCGAATCTTTCGTCTATACCGATTTGCGACGATGTATACCCAAAGATCCTTGCATGTATAGATAGACGGAAAGATAGGAAGACCGAAAGGTCGGAAAAGATCGGAAGATGGGAACATAGAAAAATAGAAAGACGGATAGATGCATAGAGTTGCACCGTTGCAGCGCAGGGGCATGCAGCATGGGCCCACAAGTCGAAAAAAGCCGCCAAATCCAGAACCATTCTTCTAATCTCCAGGGCCCTTATACTAAACTCCACACCGCACACGCCCGTCTCGTAAGTTTCAAGAGCAAAGCCTCCAAGGGATTATTAGGGAAACTAGTGTGGCTAGTAATTAGGGCTAGGTTGGTTTTCAGGCTTTGAGGGTGTGTATGGTCATGATGGCCATTAGGCTTCTTGGGTTTAGTTATCAGGGTTATAGGGTTATCAGGGTTATCAGGGTTATCAGGGTCTTCATGGTTACGAGAGTTTGGGGATTAATGCAGGCCTACACAATAAGTACTGTAAGGGCTGACATGTTGCAGCGTTCAGGCATGTCCGAAGGATCAAGGGGATGTGAAGACGATTCACCATGCATGCTTGGATGCATACATATGCATGCGTGTATGGCTATATGCCCACATACCTTTGTAGGTAGGTAGGTAGGTAGGTCCAGGTAGGTATGTATGTATGCATTATGCACATATGCGTTTCTGTATGATATGCACACCTGCAGATTGTAGATAAAGACAAACTTGCATCTTGCAGTTTTGCTGGGCCTGGGCCGTGCTCCAAGGAACTTCTCAGGACAATGTGTCCTGTTTTTTCCACTCTTGGCAAAGATGTCTGCCCGCCTCGTGATTAAGAGCTCTCAGAGCCGAGTCCTCATTCTTCGGTGCTGCTTCCAGGATTTGGAGGTGTCGTTACTGTTGCAACATGTTCTTCCTTTCCTGAGCACGAAGCCACCAGACCCCGTGCGCGAGCAGTGAGGAGGGGATGGGTCGAGCGATGACTCCAAGTTACGGTGTAGATTCCCCATGTCGCTCTGGAGTAAGGGCTTCCTTGTAGGCTGGCGCCTGGCTTGGTTTAGAGTTGGTGTGGGTTTGCCGGTTTCAACTGTGCGGAGCTGAGGGCGTTTTTGAGCAATCCTGGAAGGTTGAGGCGGAAATTCTCAAGGATTTTGGACTGGAATTCCGGGGCGACGGGGGGGCCGGAAGCAGAATCTCACGGCGTAGCTGTGCTGTATCGGAGTGAGAATGGCGGGTTTCGATGCTTGCCAGAGCTTTACACAGTTTAGGTGATTGCAGTTTCAAGGTTGGGTATGAGGTCGCGGCTTCGATAGACTGAGGTGAAAGGTGTGCTGTACAGAGCACAGGGTCATAGGGCGTCTTCTGATAGATACATCTCAAATCTCCAGCTTGACAAGCTCCTTCCTCCACTTGCAGCCAGCGCACAGCGCATGGAACTTCGACTGAATCGTGTCAGCCTCCATTCCAAATGCTGCCCCCCCGTGCACGGCAGGTGTTTCACCGCGATATTGCTGCACATAACTTTCTTATCGCATCTCGCCTGCACTTGTGAGCGTTCGGGTCATTTGTTTTCAGGAACTGTAGGATGTGTCGTAGCCTAAGACAGCAACTTCTAACGCAGAGAAAGTGACTTCTTCATGAATTTGCAGAGTTGTGCCCAAATCCTAGTGCATCTGTTGAGCTGACGACTTCGGCCACTAGCTTCTTGAGCGATAAACAGGTTCTGGGTGTAGAATCACAGTCTAGAGTCTCGAGCCTTCGATGCACACATCCTCATCTGTACACAAGACAAGCCCAACGCCAACAACCCCAAACCGGAAGCCCCAAACCCACCCAAACTTGAACCGGAGCCCTTGGGCCTTCATGCACATACTGCATACATGCAGGTATGCATGTAGACAATTGCATGTACACACGCACACAAACACACACACACACACACACACACAGAGACAGACAGAGACACACACACACACACACACACCCGCACACGCACACGCACACGCACACGCACACGCACACGCACACACACACACACACACAGACCCACACCCACACCCACACCCACACCCACACCCACACCCACACCCACACCCACACCCGCACCCGCACCCGCACCCGCACCCGCACCCGCACCCACACCCACACCCACACTCACACCCACACCCACACCCACACACACACACACACACACACACACACACACACACACACACACACACACACACACACACACACACACACACACACACACACACACACACACACACACACACACACACACACACACACACACACACACACACACACACACACACACACACACACACACACACACACACACACACACACACACACACACACACACACACACGCCCACACCCACACCCACACCCACACTCACACTCACACACACACACGCACAACCCGCATAATTATACAGATATACTAGGTGCTTTCCATGTTCATCATTTTGCCCAAACTTGGGTTCACCCTTCCAGTCGCAGCTGCGGATCTGGTAGAGACGCACTCGCCTTCAGGAAGATGTGAAGGACAACACAGCCAAGGCTCCGGAAGGGTTTCAGGTTTAGGCTTGCGAGTACGTAACGTGTGTGTGTGTGTGTCTATACAGATATATACTAAGATTGTGCGTTTGGCTTAAGTTAAGATATAGATGTTACTAGGGGGTTAGGTAAGTTAGATAAAAAGTTAGCATAAGTTAAAGAAAGTTAACATAAGTTAGCAACAGTGAACTTGTGGATTAAAAGATACAACGATGGGGTGGCGGGCTCGTGGGTGGTGGTAGCGGGTGGTGAGGCGGTGGCCATCGCCAGCCACCACCAACCACCCACCAACCACCACCCACCACCCACACCAAAATAATGCGGTTCACAAATCCATTCCCAGAAAAGCAGCTGATTGGGGGATCCTTATAGAAATTTTAGGTGCTGCACCAGCCACCACCCACGCCACCCACGCCACCCACGCCACCCACCACGCACCACCCACCCACCACCCCGCACCACCCACCACCCCACCACCCACCACCCCACCACCCATCACCCCACCACGCACCACCCACCATCCACCATCTAATAGGTGGTGGGGTGGTGGGGCGGTAGGGTGTGGTGGGTTGGGGTGCGGTGGTAAAGTGTGGGGTGGGTGGGGGTGGGTGTCAGGGGGGGGGTGGGGTGGGGTGGTGGGGGGGTGGTGGGGTGGTGGGGTGGCGGGGTGGCGGGGTGGTGGGGTGGTGTGGGTGGGTGGTGGGTGGTGAGGTGGTGGGTGGTGCGGTGGCGGTGGTGGTGGCGGTGGTGGTGGTGGTGGTGGTGGTGGTGGTGAATCAGGGGGTGGAGTGCCAGCCAGCTCCAATTCTGAGGCCTGGAAGTATGAACTTTTTATGAACTTTTCAGGCCTGGAAATATGAACTTTTTATGAACTTTTCAAGCCTCGAAATATGAACTTTTTATGAATTTTTCAGGCCTCGAAATATGAACTTTTTATGAATTTTCAGGCCTCGAAATATGAACTTTTCAGGCTTGGATTCATTGTAAATACCAATAAAACACTAAAAATATGAACTTTTTATGAACTTTTCGGGCCTCGAAATATGAACTTTTTATGAACTTTTCAGGCCTCGAAATATGAACTTTTTATGAACTTTTCAGGCCTGGAAATATGAACTTTTTCTGAACTTATCCGGCCTGGTTCCTGGCTTTATGAACTCGGGGGTGGTGCTGGCGGTGGTGGCGCGGGCGGTGGGGGTTGCTGATGGTGGTGTCGGTGGTGCTGGTGCTGCTGGTGCTGGTGGTGCTGGTGGTGCTGCTGTGGCGGTGGTGCTGGTGGTGGGGGCGGCGGCGGCGGTGGTGCTGGTGCTGGTGCTGGTGCTAGGTGCTGGTGCTAGTGCTGGTGGGTGCTGGTGCTGGTGCTGGCACTTCCGCTAGCGCTGGGGCTGGTGCTGGTGCTGGCGGTGAGGTTTCCCAAGCCGTACACCCCAAACCCAAGCCCCTAAACCCCTGAACTTTAAACATGCGCTAGTGGTGTTCCTAACATCCTAGACATGCTGTTGTTGTTGCTGTTAGTGGTGGTGCTGGTGCTGGTGGTGCTGGTGCTGTTGTTGTCGTGGTGGTTGCTGTTGTTGCTGCTGTTGTTGTTGTGGTGGTGGCGGCGGCGGTGGTGTTGGTGTTGGTGAAGGCTGTGGTGATAGTTTTTCTACACTCCACACCGTACCCTATACCCCCTAAACCCTATAACCCTGGTGGTGGTGCTGATGCTGGTGCTGGTGTTTGTGGTGGTGGGGGTCCTAAACACCTGAACCCCCTAAGCCCATAGCATCTGCTCTTATCTTTGTGGAGCACAGAAAAGAACAGCATCAGTGACAAACAACGAAAACCATTCAACACAAAGCCGACATAAAACAAAAAAGTTAGAATAAGTTAACATAAGTTATCATAAGTTAGAAAAAGTTAGCTAAAAAGTTAACTTAAGTTAGTAACTTCTATTTCTTCCAACCAACCTTCTACTAACTTCCCCCAAGTTAGTAGGGACTTACTACATGGATGGCAAAGATGTAAGGGGGTTACAGGGGGGTTATAAGGGGGTTACTAACATCTATATCTTAACTTAGGCCACACGCACAATCTTAGTATGTACATACGTAAATTCAAACATCTAGACACACCCTCACACACAGACATGCATGTATCTATATATTTCTATTTAGATATACAGCTTCTGGTCTCTCTTTCTCTCTTTTTCTCTCTCTCTCTCTCTCTCTTTCTCTCTTTCTCTGTCTCTCTCTCTCTCTCTCTCTCTACACATATATGTATATATGTATGTATGTATGTATGTATGTATGTATGTATGTATGTATGCATGCATGTATGTGTGTGTGTATATATAGATATAGATATACACACGCTGAGACTAATCGGGCTACTTCTCCATCAGTTCCTGGAAGTGGGCCGCAGCTTGAACACGCTCCACAACAAGCCCTCTCGTTAGTGTGCATGCCATCCTGCGGCATGTGTCCTGGTGAGGCAGTGTCTAGATCGCTTCTCGTTTCGAAGCTGTTGCACCTGGTGCAAGTTCCGAGCAGCCAAGCACAAGAAGGGTGCATCTCACTCGCTGCAGTTCGCTGTGCTTGACTTCGGACTTGCGGTGGACGCCGCCAAGTGGTGCCGCGAGTGGGGAGCGGGCTGCTCAGGTTTGCGATGGCTACTCAGGCAGTTGTTAAGAACGTCACTGCCCCCGAGGTTTTCTGCTCGGGCTTAATCTTCAGGGCTGTAACAGTAACATAAAGCTGACACCTGACAGCCACGTCTCGTCTTGCCTGAATGCCCAGTCTCGCAGCGTCGGTGGCGACCCGCGCTACTGGGCGCCACCGGCCTGGATGATGCTCGCGTGTGGGCACCGGCGGCGGCCTGAGCCTTTCCAACCCGCTTGAAGCCCGTGTGCTAATGTCAACAATAACTCAAGCATGTGAAAGGTAGGGTTATGTACTCGTGATGTTCATATGCCTGTGTATATGTTGCACATATGTATTCAACAGCTACAAGTAACAGTCACTGTAACTGACAGCCCACATATGCACCCGTCCGTGCATCTATCCATCTATCTATGCATGCACGCGTGCATGCATGCGTGCCTAGAGACATACATCCACACATACATCAACATGCGTACATCTACTTGCATCACAGCACCTTCCATGACATAATTATTTGGACCTTCTATTACTTACCTTGCACGACATCCCAGTACAGGCCATTACGTTACGGTACATTACATTGCGTTACAGCACATCGCATTACACTACACTCTGTCGCTGTGTTACTTTACAGTACAATGTAGTACCTTGCCATGTATTGCGCTACATGAACTTGCATCAATGCTTACATGAAAGCTTACATACTCGGGTGGACACAAATAGATATGCATATACGAGTGGACGTAGGTATGTAGGTAGGTATGTATGTATGCATGTCACTGTGTGGCAATGTAAGTAAGTAAGTAAGTATGTATGTATGTATGTATGCATGGATGTATGTATGTATGTATGTATGTAAGTTATCTAATGCATGTACGTACATTGTAGTGTATTGTAGTATAGTGTGATGTGCAGACTCGAGCCTCCCTGCATGCATGCATGCGCAGCGGTAGGTATGTCGCCAACCATCCAGACAGCTGCTGGGCGAGCCTGGCACTCGTCTCTCTACGTTTCAACCATGTCGGCTTGGAGGGTTTTGGGATGTACTACGGGTGCATACCGCGGCAGAAGAGTCCCAAACAGTTCTGCACAGTGGTGTTGTTGAAGGGTTTTGCAACTGTGGCGTACAACTGAATTCAACGGCTTGGGCCTTTTCACTGTGCGATTGCGCGAACTGTCTGTCGTGGTTCTATGACGGCATGTCTTTGCTGAGGGTGTGCAGGTGTGCCCTTGGTCTAGTTTCAGATCCGGATCGCCGTTCCGGTCAACAACATGGGAGGGTGTGCGAGACATCTTCCACATCGCAACAACCTTAATACATGTCGTTTCCGATTTGCATCCCATCCGCAAGTGATGCCCCAGATCAATATGCACATCGTCTTGATCACTACTCCTTCGGCATGCTGATGCTGGAGGCAGGATACGGTGGCAGGGCTCCGAAGAAGACGTATGCTTTTCATTGATGGCCTGTAACATCAAGATTTCGTTCGTCTGCTTATGGCACCAAGTCCCAAAACCCCAGTCCAGATGTCATGCTCCACTCTTGACGCATTTGGGGGATTTTGGTTTCCATTCTTTTCAGGGGGAATCTTTCTTATACTGCGGTGTAGTACCCGGCATGACTTCCCTCAGATGCTGGGCTGTCATATATCGCAGATGATGTGCGGTCTGCGGCCTGGAGTGTCGGAGTTCATTTTTTCAATGCTGGTTGAAGCGTACCCGAGCTGAGCCAAAGTTCTAGACCATTGAGGCTTCTAATTTTCTTGCCCTGAGCTGTTAAATTCATGGCGCATGTGTGCCCTTAACATGGTGAAACGGTTTGAGTTCTGTTTCAAGTGCCGACCAACCTGCTAAGATAGGCTGAGTCAGGCCGGCATTTCGAGCGCCCTTAAGGTAAAAGCTTAAATAATTGCGAACATCGTTCTGCATGCTTACCTGCTACGTGTATGCTCTACTCCTAAACACTTACTCCGTTACAGAACCAGAACGTTCTAGATCCCTTTAAAGGAGCCTCTTATCGGAACGCCGCTCTAATTATCAATGCTCCTATCTTCGCCTCCACCGACTCCGCTTCTGCTCCGCTCTCGCTGCTCAGATGCTCTTCGCGCTCTGGAAGGGCCCGAAGGCCGGCCGTTCCGTTGCTCCGAGGGCCCTAAACGGATCCCTTAGCCTGTTTTAGGGTTTAGGGTTGCGGGTTGGAGGGCCGAACCCTAAATCCGGGCCCTCAGTTTGGGTCCTTCTGAGTGCGAGCAGAGATAACCCTGGCTGCGCACCCTCATCTTGCTTTGTCTTCGCCTCTTCTCCCCGGGTAGGCTGATGAAGACGACTGGGCCGAAAGTGGCGAACTTTCGGAGCAGGCAAAATCCTGGAGGCCATGCAGGGATCAGTGATGGCATCTTTGGAGACCCTATCAGAGGGATCGGTTCTGCGTTTTGATGCTTTATGCACACCAAGCTATGGGTTTATACAGTTGTTAACCAAGATCCCTTCTTTACTTAGAATATCTGTATATATGAAGACGTACTGTGTTTTTTGTGCAACACCTCTGGTAGTACAAATGTATGGGTTAGATGAGTACATGAATACATGTTTCTGATTATGCTAATATGCATTTTCATATATGTATATATTTACGTATACTACATATATATATATATACAGGTACACATACGCATACATGTATACGATGACATGTATATGTGTACGAGCACATGTATGTGTGCGCATGTGTGTATGTGTGTATATATATATATATGCATACACGTAAATGCGTGAGGGTATGCACAAGGTGTGAAATCGATGGGGCTAGGTTCGGAAAATGGATCCTATTAATGGGGGGTCAAAGACTCCCATACATAGTGCTGAGGGTTTGAGTTGCCGACATCCTCTCAAGCTTTGACAGGTCCTCCTTTCTGACAACACGCTCGGCCCGGGTCCCCAGAAGCATTGAAACCCAGAACTAGGTTTTACATGGGTTGCTGTAAGGTTTACTGTAAGGTTTACTACAACCCTGGTTTGCTAGAGGGGTTGCGACAAGGTTTACTACAAGGTTTACTGTATGTGGCTCCAAGGTTTACCTATAGTCTCCATTGTGGTTCCTTTTTTTGGTTTAACCAATTATATATTAAGGATCCTATAAGGTAACCCCAAAAAGTAGCTACAATGTAGACTATAGGTACTATACGGGTTATTGAAAGGAACCAAGTTTGCAGCTTGCACCTGCCAAGGCTTGGAAAGCCTGGTGGAAGAAGTGTGTGCACCTTTTCCAATCCGTCCACAACGAAGGAGACCCGGGGCAACAGCAGTGGATCCCATCGCTCCGGATCCCTGTCATCCCTGTTCGTAGCAAAAATTAGTTCAAAGATTCGGGATAAGTATTCATAGTACTTACATATGTGCATACTATGTCGAAGCTGAACATCACCAAAAATTTTTGCGGAGGCGACATCCTTTGGAATGCGTTTTGCCCCAGGAGTTGAGTTGTTTGCCGACCCTAGCTGCAGAAACTGCCGTGTGTCGAATCTCGTTTCATCTTCGGCGCTGCAGGAGCACATAAACTGGCTGCTGAACTTCGGGCCAGTGTCCCGGGCTTCCTGCACCAACTAGGGGCCTTAGTCCTTAGGAGCTCGTATAGAGGTTTATGCTGTGGCATACACGTTATGGTATGGTTAGAACAAGGAGCCCTGAGGAAGCTTATTGCTGATTGTTCAGGCTTCCGTATTACTGTAAGTTTCAGCTCTTAGGGGACATACTAGGCTGCTCTCACTGTTCTACTACTGTTGTTACGGCCGTGCCTGTGGATTCACGAGCCCTTGCTTGAACTGCTTTGTGAACGTGACCCAGGAAAAGTGCCGGAATACGAAGCAGCTGGCGATCGACGACCACTGCGAGTTTTTGCGGGCGTCTCTTGGCGATTGAGTTTTGAATAGGAGCAGCTCCCACGTGTCAGAGCAAACTACAGACCCGTTTGCATGTACCTCACGAAACAAACTAGAAAGCCGAAGTCTCAATAGCAGCAGCCTCGCGCCTTGCTGTACTCAGACTCGACCCGATTAAGTGCCTCCAGTCCCTCACTTTGTCTAGGACCTATACTGCAAATCCTGCCGCATCGCATATGGTGACCAAGGACGGTGAAGAAGATTGTGGCACCTTGCGCAGCAGTCCCCGAAGGCCGGTTGACGACAGTTTTCGGGAGCTGAGACTCGCTGCAGCCAATATGCCTACGTATCTATACATATACCTGTATATATATATATATATATGGATATGGTAACCCCCCCAAGAACTACCGACCCTCGTGTTGTATTGTAAATACCGTGTTGAAACGGCTTTTCCGGCAGATCCAGATTCCGTATCTCGCAAAGACAGCCTAAACGAAGCTCACATTTCAACAGAACGTGCTAGACTGCTCTTTCAGGTTCGACGTGAGCAAGCAATCATTGGTAACACTGTACTCTTCCAAACACACACACCAGGGGCTAAGCAACTGGTTCAGGATCGACGTGAGCACACGCCTCACGGCAACACTGTATTCTTCCTCACAAAAAACAACTTTTTCCTAGGAAAACAAAAAAAACAAAAAGCACATTTTTTGTGAAACTATACGGCCCGACTCCGAAAAGATTGCTTCGTGGTTCTCCCTGGGAAACAGATGGTTTTGGAGTAAAAAACCAACTGTTTCCTCTGAAAAAGATGGTTTTGACAAGAAAAACCAATTATTTCTTAGGAAAAAATGGTTGTGGAGGGGAAACCAACTTTTTCCTAGGAAAAACAAAAAAGCTTTTGTTTGCAACCTGTATGTGTCCAATTTTGGTTTTCCCTAGGAAAAAGCCGGTTTCTAACACCAAAAATATTCTTTTCCTAGGAAAAAGTGTTTTTTCACACCAAAACAATCTTCTCCTAGGGCAGAATTGTTTTTCACTCCAAAACCATCTTTTTCCCAGGAAAAATTTGATTTTTCCACCAAAAACAATTTTTTCCTAGGGAGAAACGAACAAATTGAAGTCGGGCCGTATAGTTTCACAAAAAATATGTTATTTTTTGTTTTTTTGTCCCTAGGAAAAAATTGGTTTCCCCTCCAAAACCTTTTTTCCCTTGGAAATAAATTGTTTTTCATGCTAAAACTATTATTCTCCTAGGAAAAAGTTGGTTTTTCACTCCAACACCGGGGTTTTCGAGCGAGGAGTGTGCACTTCAGTTGTTTTGTGTGCGTTACGAACAAGTGTTGCCTTTAAGGTTAGAGTATCTTTATTACTGGGATGCGATTCCGCCAACATTAATACTCTGCAGTATATTGGGCAGTAACCAAGACAATATTCGGGTCAACTTCGGGGTCGATAGGGAGCTGCTTATCACAGCTACCGCTTGATGTCTTCTAGCTGACTGAAGTTGCAATTTAGATAAGAAACATCAGGGTCAGATTCTGGGTGGTACTAAGCCTACTATGGGTGGCCTTAGGGCTGCTGTCAGGGCCAATATTACGGTAACCATTGACATATCGGCGAATGACCAGGATATGGTTAGGGTTGATGTTGTTTGGAAACAGGAGTCAGCTAATGATCTTCGTCATTATGTTGGTACCTAGTACAGGTTTAACCTGATCCTTTACATTTATTTGTATATAGACACATAAAACGTACACACCGCATGCGGGCAAGTCCGACAGCAAGTCTGACAGTGAGAGAGGGAGCGACATGTTCTATATGTTGAGGTAAGCCAACAAGAGCTGGTAGAGTCCCTAAAAATAGGAGGGCCATCCTTTGGGGAACACCAGAGGGAAGACAGCAAGGATCGCGGTTGTTAATGGAATCCGTTTCGTGTAGATTAAGATTAGCACGACTATGACGGCAACCGTTGAATCAAATGTTTGTGCAGTATTTGGCTTACATGTATTAATATTAACAGTAACTAACTAGTAATGGGGATGCCATGGCTGTTAGGAGATTCGAATGGGAACCCGCAGCTACATCTGGATGCACTAACCTGTTGATGAGGCCAATTGCCATTATGTGGGTTGCAGTTGAACGAAGTTTCCGGCACAAGGAAAAACTTATGAGTAACATTAAGTTTGCTTACTATCAGGGGGCCAGTCAAGCTGATGTATGTGATTAATCACCTTGTGTTAACCTTCACCTCGGCATGAGGGTTGATATGGGGACGTATACATAATGGAGTTACAAGTCGACATAACATGTTAATCCATACGAACTAACACGTGAATCTATAAGGCACCATTTGTGGGTGAACATGAAGTGGAAGACTACTGTCACCATTGGAGCCAATGTAAGGTCTAATGGCACGGGCAGTGTTAGGATATGGTTGTTTAGGAATAAGCGTCAGTCGATGCTGATGGTCATTCGTACGTATTGCTGGGGCTTGGATCTGAGACTGTAGTGAAGGCTGCATTAGGAGTTAATGCTCGTACCCATATTGAGCTTTGGGTATTCCGACAGACATGACTGTCATCGTTGGGACATCAAATGTCTGAGTATCTGTGTTGGGTCACAGCAATTGAGAATGAAGGTGGCTGTCGATATACATTGATACGTATGCTGTCCCCCCCCCGAACTTCAAAATCTAACACTAAGCCTGGATCATACCATAGAAGCCTAAACCTACAAGGATTGGTGGCATCGCGGCACCTCTGCGGTAGTGCTTCGGGCAGGGGCTTAGCATATATATATATATAGACATATATGTATTTAGAAACAAATATACATATATACATATATACATATATACATATATATACATATATACATATATGCATAGATACATACATACATATATACATATAGACATACACACACACATATATATATATATATATATATATATATACATATACGTATTTATTTACAAATACATATACGCATATATACATATACATATATATATGCATATACATAGACATATGCATATACATATACATATACATATACCTATACATATATATATATATATATATAGATATACATATACATATACATATACATATACATATTCATATACATATACATATACATATACATATACATATACATATACATATACATATACATATTCATATGCATATGCATTTACATATACATATACATATGCATATACATATACATATACATATACATATACATATACATATACATATACATATACATATAATTACATAGACATATATGTATACATATACGTACATACATGCTTACATATGTCTATACGGAGAGAGAGAGAGAGAGAGAGAGAGAGAGAGAGAGAGAGAGGTGTGTACATGTAGGAAAGTTGAATTTTGCCACTCGTGGTTCCTGTATGACAATCTTTCGCTTCGTCCGCGCGCAGTGCGAAGAGGCTACGGTGACTAAGATGTGTGCGTGTGTGCGTGTATGTAATACGCGATGCTTTTCCGCCAGAGACTTCGAAAGAAGGATCAAATTAAAGCCAGTGTTCTGCATCTTCAAGCCAAGCCCTGCTGAGCGTCAGCACCCGGCTGTCGCAAGGTGAAGTGTACAAGAAGGTGTCCTTCGTCCTCCAGGCCTGGGATTGCACAGGGTCTCGAACTATGCCGATGTGGGGCTTCAAGGAGTTTTGGAGTTCGTCCTTTGCAGCGCAATAACTTGAGGTGCTAATGTTGCAATCTCGGGGCACGGGACTTCAGGATTGTGCCGCGAAGCGTGGATTTTTGCCGCATTGTGGCAACCATTTGATATTCAGCCGGATATACAGGGACGGTCAGGGGCTTCGTATTAATAAGATGAAGGGCTGTGGCTACAGCTCCTAAACCCTTCCTACAAGCCCCAAACACATACAGAGGGACCGCGAAGTCCTCTTGGGCCTCTCTTCGCTCTTCCGACCGAGGTGGCCTCCGAGTTGATCAACCCAGCTGGGAGAACTCAATGGCAGGCCACAGATGGTAGCATGAAAGAACGATGACGATATGTATATATATAAGCATATATATATATATATATGTATGTATATATGTATATATGATTATTTATTTACACACACACACACATATATATATATATATATGTATATATAACTTCTTTTCTATAAAGCTATGCTCATATCTATATATAACTATACATAGTCATTCAGTATATATATATATATACACACACGTATCGCTTGTCTGTTGGTCTAACTATCCGAACTAATCTTCATTCTTCCGTAGCATTTTTTCCATACATATGAGTACTTGAGGTGCCTGTTGTAGGCGGGTTAATGTGCTGGTCATGCCACCAATACATGTATTGCTTTGCTTTTAAGCTAGTTGTGTGTTTTATTGTTATTCGTTCCTTTTAATATAGACGTTACGCTTTTTCATTGCCGTTCTTACTGCTATAACCCGAAAGTTCATAACATTTATTGTCATTGCTGCTGTTCTCGGTTTCAGTGTTAGCATGAGCATTAGTACCGGACAAAGTTTTAGTGTTAGAGTTAACTGGTTTAGCAATGGTATGAGTGCGAATCATTCGCGTCATAACTACTATTAGTATCGCTGTGACGGTCATCGTCGTAGTGGTGATGGTCGTCGTCTTATTCGTAGTGTTGTTGCGACGACCGGAAATGTGTCCATAGCCTCAAACAGGAAAACACTTGGAATAGAAGCAAGACGAATGTCATCAGCATTAAGTAGTGTTAATGTTATGTCTAGCTCTTGGTCATTTCATTTTGCGTCACTTGGGGGTTCTTTTGATTTGTTGCGGAGAGGGGGAGGCGAGGCAGTCCTTCTTGTAGTGTTGCAGGTAAAGGATCCTAAAACCTGTATGCCAAAGTAAGCCCTCGAAGATCCCCCGGGACCCTGAACCCTAGATTCTATAGACCCTAGATATCCCTAAAGGATCCTAGCCCTAAACCCCTAAACCCGAAACCCAAGGGCTTCGGCACCTTCTAGGCGTATCCCAGCATTTTATTGATTTACCGGCCCAGAACCCTACTTCCGGCAAATACGCTGAAAGCAACAGGATCTCGCAAGTTGGTAGTACTGGTAGTACTGGTAGTACTAGTATTGGTATCAGTATTAGTAGTGCTAGTGTTTATATTCGTGTTCATACTAGTGTCAGTGTTTGTATTGACAGGAGATCCACCGGCGCCTCGGGTCTCTCCTTGGCGTTTCCGGCAGGGTTGAGGCGATTTAGGGTCAGGGCTTTCAAATTGTATTTGAGGTTCAGGGTTTGGGGCTTTTGGGGCTCTATTTCGGATTCCGGACCGATATGCTTTGTTTCGTCCCCCACTTCTACAGAGATACTTGCCACGGATCTTACAGAGCGTTAGAGTATGGTGCAGGGTCTGTGAAGCTTTGCCAGAAAAGAGAGTTTTTTGGCGCACTCTCAACTTTGAGGAGATGCTCGAGGAATTTCGAGGGCCGACAGTGTTCCTATCTGTGCCAAGATGTGCGGAAATCTTTTAGTTCAAGTCGTGCTCGCAGTAGGCATGCTACCCACAACTACCGCCCCCTAATACTGCTAGCACTTCCGCTCCCGCGACCACTACGACGATGTTGCTTGCTACTGCAGACTGAGCTCCGTGCAAATACGGCCTCCTAGCACAGCCAGGGTAGTTAGTGAGCAGAATGCTTGCATGATCAAGACGGACAGAGTGTCCGCCCTGAGCTCGCGATCCCGAAAGCTGATCAACGGTAGCAATAGCCATAGCGCCGTCAGACAACACTTGTAAACTCAAGAACTGCTGGCTTCATAAGAACATGGACTTTTGAATGCTAGACCCAGGCCTGAGTGTCTGTTTGCTTGGGAGTCTTTTTCCCACCCCGATCCCAGACCAGAGTCGAGGCCATGTTCGGGGTTTACCGCTGTTAGAATCTTCCAGATGAGAATCCATACTTCTCCAAGAGCCTTGCTTGTCCACGAGACCCAGATGCATTCCAACATTTCCTACGGCTCGGATCCTCCTCCCTGTCGCAGTCCATGCCCTCCGGTTCGTCCTTCGGAAGTGATACGGACCTGGTCGTCACCAAGGCAGAGGGGAAAGATGGCAAATGATGCCGGGCACGGGGTTTCAGTCGCAAGTCACCATCCATGCCAACATGTGACGGTTTGACAAGGACCTTCCGATCTGTGCTGTCCAACCAGGATTTTCCGCAGAGCCTCAATGTTTCTTTGCTCCAGTCACTACTGCAACTCAGCTTTCCAAGCCTGCCCTCCCAAATGGGCAAGTCCTGTTCGCCGTAGCTATCTAGCACAGTGTGCGAAATCACGCTTCGGTGGGATGGAGGTGGGCTCGAATTACAGCGACGAGGCGGGCAAGGCCGTGGAGTGTTTCATTGTTTGCCATCCATGTCAGTCAGTATCGGCTGCCCATGGTTTTAGCATAGGAAGCTCGACTAGGTTTCAGGATGACAGGGAAGACCGTAATTGTAGAACCACCGTACGCCTGTTTCCTGAGCGCTTTGAGTTCCGGGAAAGTTGGCCGAATTGCACAGCGAGTCCGATAAACGGTATGGATAGCTGATCCCAGTGATGGTTTGATGGGGAACACCACAGTACGATCCCTGGAGCTCGAGAAAGGAACGCCTACCAGTTGCGTGGTGCTCAACCCTGTTTGAGGTGCCTCAGCTTTCGGGCAAGGCGGAGTCTGTATGTATGTACATATACATATGTATATATATATATACACATGTATGTATATATGCATCTATGCCCGCTAGCGCACAGCGACTCCCTGAAGTAGACAGCTGGCATTATCACAGCTGCAGAAGCAAAACAGCTAAACCTCGCAGCAGTCCTTTGACCTACAGACCCCCGTCATAAACATCACAGATCCTCTCCTGCCCGGGACTTACCAACTTGCTGCAAATCCGGCCCCGGTTTGGTGGGGTTGGGCGGAGGGTGGGGGGCTGACGGGCGAGACGTGAATCACGCCTTCCTTGAGCGAGTGATGCGAGTCGAGACCCTAAGCCCTAAGCCCCCCTAGTTAAGCCCCAACGTGTTCCTGCAGGACGCGGGAGCCATGCTGCTCCGTTTGGTACAGTCGCCCTTCCGCACCGACAACGGCGCGGGAATGGCGCTTCTGCAGCAGGTTCGGTCCAGTTGCTGGTGCCACGAAGTGTCGGCAGAGCCGGCAAAGCTTGCAAGTTCAGGAAAGGGTAAATCCAAAGGAGATGGCAAGCCTTCACAGAAAGGAGAACCCAAAGGCAAGGGCAAAGGAAAGCATTATCAACAGACTCCACAGCATGGTAAGCAGCATCACCCGCAGTGGCAGCAGCAGCCAGTTTTTCACAATGTAGGAGCAACCGCAGACAAGCCAAGAAGAAGCAAAGGAGGAAGGACTGGAGGAAGGCCCACAAGACAGTGATGCATCCGGACCCGGTCGTGGCGGAATTCATGGCACTCATGAGGGGGGCCAGTCATCAAGGGTGGCTCAGGGTGCTTCATGCGGAAAGGTACCGGCAGTATGTATATGTGTTTGATCCGGATTCACGCAGTGTATTTTTACCAGATGCTGATACAATCCCGTGGGATGTGGGTTTGTTGTTAGGCAAGTATCACCGCAAACATCGTATTTCGAGGGCTACACGTCCGAGACTGGAGGCGGTAATGACGTATGTGAGTGATTTCTGCAACAAGCTTCAGTGGCGATGGCTTTTTAGACACAGTGAGTCGGCGAGACCGTTCAAGGTCCCCTCCACCAGAGCGGGACCGCCATGTGATTTCAACATTGCCCCTGAACTTCGTTGCTGGACGAGTTTTTTCCAATCTCATATGCGTCGAGCTTGCACCAGAGCCCTTTCGAGACACATGCACAACCCGAGGAGGTGGTCCAATCGTACAGCTTTGGACAGTTTTTCTGTGGGTTGGCTACGAAATTCATATTACGCGATCATCCCGACGGATAAGGATGGTGGGTATTGTCTCGTGCCCCGTGGGTGTCTTCGTGATGCTCACCGTGATATCCTACAGAAGTCGTGGTATGAAGAGTTTCCTATGGAATTTCTGCCACCGTGGAAGTGTGTGGCGGAGCAGTATGTATCACTTGCACATAAGATTGCAAGAGTGGAACAGCAGTCTTCCATGGTATCACTCATCACTTCTTCGGTCAGGTATGGGAATGAAAACGGTCTGGTGAGGAAACTGGATGTCACCGTAAAGTCCCACAAACCTGCGGGAGAAGTATCTTTTCGCAACATACACGCTGGGGGTCAATATCCTTTTGCGGGTTTGGGCGCATGGCTTGCGCATCGCTTGAGAAACCAGCTTTCAGGACGTCCACATCTTTTACGAAACACTGACGAGCTCATTTCAAAACTGAGGTCGTTTGAGAGTGAGGTCCCCATCAAACTTGTCAAGGTTGATATTAAAGACTATTTCATGTCTAGTACCCCGGCTACTTTGACCGAACATGGAGCAAGTATGATGGCGCAACCGTTTCAGCAAGTTGGTAAGGATGTCATCGGATTCCTCTTGAGTCACCAGTATGTACGTTCCCATCTTTTCACTGACCAAGTATGGCGGGTACTTGTTGGTGCTGGTGTGGGTCTCAACTTCTCGGGGGATCTGTGTGATGCAGCGTTCTTTTCCATGGCCGAGGCGTGGTTCGTTCACAACCAAGGCCTCAAAGACCAAACCGGAATTCTCCTGTATGTGCGCTTTAGAGATGATGTCTTTATGATTCTTCGGGATGGCTTGCACATGGCATTCTGTGAGTTTATGGAAAGGTGGAGAGAGAAAGCTGGATGTTTCAAACTCGTTGTGGAGGCTATTAGCAGGTCCCAGCAGACTGTGCTCGACTTGAACTTGGCGATCACAAAGTCTGTTACAGCTGATGGCCGAGCAAGAAACAGAGTAGGCTTTCAACCTCACTTCAAGCCAACTTCACTCGGTGCCACTCAGCACGGCCAGTTCACATCCATGGCATGTGCATGCAAGCTGGCCTTTTTCCCAAATTAAAAGGTTGCACAGTTTGAGTGGTAGCCACGTGTGTTTCTCGAAAGCGAAACATGCGTTCATCAGTAGGTTACATGACAATTTTGAGCCGTCGACCCTCATCAAAGCTTTGTGTGAGTACATTCCCCCCATACGAAATCTAAGATGGGAGGAGTGTGCTCATGAACAGGAGGCTGACTCAGAACGCTCTAGTGTTCTGTGGATGGTCGTTCCGTATCATTTTGTGTGGGAAGCCGCTTGTTTGGCGAAACACGCCAATGAGTTTTTGCATTCCACTGAAGCCAAAACCTTATGGATGAAGGCATGGGGCACGACCCCAATCTTCAGGATCGGTATGGCCTGGAAGGTCACCGCTCCGCCAGTGGCTTGTTTTTCAAACGTTTGTAGTTTGGTGGTTGGATGGGGAGGTGGCGGCTTAACAATAATAATCTTTCTGTGTGCACTTGAAGGACTGAACAGTCCCGCAGCTATTGCCAGCCCGCTCATAGCACCCAAGGGGGGTCATAGACCGAGATTGGTAGTTCCATTCCCTGGCAAAAAACGATCTCGCGCTGCTTTGTGTATCAGTGGGGATCTTGTCGCGGCCTAGACACCGGTGTGCTTTTCTGTGTGCGCGAAATCACGCTTCGGTGGGATGGAGGTGGGCTCGAATTACAGCGACGAGGCGGACAAGGCCGTGGAGTGTTTCATTGTTTGCCATCCATGTCAGTCAGTATCTGCTGCCCATGGTTTTAGCATAGGAAGCTCGACTAGGTTTCAGGATGACAGGGAAGACCGTAATTGTAGAACCACCGTACGCCTGTTTCCTGAGCGCTTTGAGTTCCGGGAAAGTTGGCCGAATTGCACAGCGAGTCCGATAAACGGTATGGATAGCTGATCCCAGTGATGGTTTGATGGGGAACACCACAGTACGATCCATGGAGCTCGAGAAAGGAACGCCTACCAGTTGCGTGGTGCTCAACCCTGTTTGAGGTGCCTCAGCTTTCGGGCAAGGCGGAGTCTGTATGTATGTACATATACATATGTATATATATATATATATACACATGTATGTATATATGCATCTATGCCCCCTAGCGCACAGCGACTCCCTGAAGTAGACAGCTGGCATTATCACAGCTGCAGAAGCAAAACAGCTAAACCTCGCAGCAGTCCTTTGACCTACAGACCCCCGTCATAAACATCACAGATCCTCTCCTGCCCGGGACTTACCAACTTGCTGCAAATCCGGCCCCGGTTTGGTGGGGTTGGGCGGAGGGTGGGGGGCTGACGGGCGAGACGTGAATCATGCCTTCCTTGAGCGAGTGATGCGAGTCGAGACCCTAAGCCCTAAGCCCCCCTAGTTAAGCCCCAACGTGTTCCTGCAGGACGCGGGAGCCATGCTGCTCCGTTTGGTACAGTCGCCCCTCCGCACCGACAACGGCGCGGGAATGGCGCTTCTGCAGCAGGTTCGGTCCAGTTGCTGGTGCCACGAAGTGTCGGCAGAGCCGGCAAATCTTGCAAGTTCAGGTGCAGGCTGGAACACTGAGCCAGAGTCCAAGATGCACGTATTTGTTGCGCGCCGGCCTCCAAAGCTGCGGCATGTCCTGCATGAGCTGAAGGCACCGAGCAGGAACAGTGGAGCAGCAGCAACTACAACAAAGGAGACACTGCTTTTGCAGCTTGTGACGGTTTAGGATTTGTGTAGAAGGTTGTGCAAAAAGGGGGTTTATGTGCAATCTCGCTGCGAAACCCAGCTGCAGGAAGGGGACAAGGCGGATGGTGGGGTGGCTCTCCAGCTGCACTGGGCGCAAAACTCCAAAGCAGCACTACAGACGGATACGATTGCCATGCCAATAAAAAACAACTATTACTATGTGGGCACTGAGTGCGGGCACTGAGTTGTGGCATGGCAATTTCAGGTGATTCCTACTACGGCAATTACGAGTGGGCCGACCATCGCAAAGGAGCCGGTAAATACAAGCACAAGGCAGGTCTGCATAAGACAGAGTCTGCCCTAAACCCTAAACCCCAGGCCTCCGACAAGCATCACTGTGGGACCGTGTCAGGGCAAGACATCGGAAAAGCACGTCTGGGCAACTTGGCTTCTTTTCAGGGCTGCTTGTACAGCGGTGTGGTTCTGACAGTGGCTCGTACGGTGTATACTGAATACTGTAAGGCCGGCTGGAATGGCAGTGCACCCCAGATGCAAATGGCGATGGCATAGAGGCATGAGAACCAGCCCGGAGCTGCTGCGAGGAATCCTGGTGGACCTCCACCTCCGGCGAGGCCAAGCTGCTTTCCTTAGATGTTCTGGGTTCTTGAGAAGTAACTTAAGCTACCATCACAGGGATCCGTGGTAAATGATATGGTTTCCTTAGAATGATACCTGAAGTTAAACCCCTTGACAAGGACCCAGTATTGCAGCATACGCCGAAGGATGTAGAGAACAGGAGTTGCATTTGCCAGGAGTGGCTGGAGGAGTCCCAAAACTCCTGGTGACCGCCTCAGCTTTTCTACAGTGATAATCAGTTTTATCACACGAAACATCGCATTAGGATCGGGCGACAGCGCAGCGCTCCACAATGGGGAAGGCAGCAACGGGGCATGCTGCCGATGGCAAGACGGTTGGGCACGGCTGCACCTGCTCCGCAGGACCAAGAAGGGTGGAAAGAGAAAGAGTGGCGAACTTACTGGAAGTTAGTTTGCCACCCCGTCTGAATCAGAAGCTGTAAGTTCTGCACTGTGTATGACCAGGCGCAGTCCGCCAGTACGAGGCATCGGAGTGAGATTCTGTGCGGTAGCTTGCAAACTCCAGACATGTGGCCTCCTGCAAACGTTGGACGTGTGAGATGAGTTTGATATGGGTTGTGGGTGCGAGGCATCTTTGAGAAGACGTACCTAAGCCTAAGCGCTTTACCAGTTGCAAAGCTTTCTTTCAACTGTTCTTTGCAGTCAGTGCGGGCTCGTCCTTGCTAGGTGGGAGGGAAAGACAGCCCTGTCATGCCCTGTCCGAGTTGCGAGCGCCGAAACCATTGTGAAAAGTTCGGGGATTGTGGGGCTGCCTTTGAGGCCTGTGACCTCCTAGTTGAGGATGTCGGGGTAACTCTTCAGGAAACGGCGAGCCGTCCGTGAGTGACACTCAGTACCCAAAAGCCTTAAATCATATTGCGAGAAGCGAGTGGCAAAAGAAATATCAATTGGACAATTATCCTAAATCCTGAACTTAACTCCGAACTTGCTCGCAGGAGGAGGCAGAGGAGGAAGAGACATCCAAAGAGTGGGCAGCCCCAGTCCGTTGCTGTTTTGTCTCACGTCTAGACGGCCTGGACAGTGTTTGGTTATCACATGTATCGATACAGTTAGAAGAGAAGCCAAGAAATGCGCCAGCGTAATCCTGGAACAGTGACAGATAGGGAAGGAGCACCGAGTGGCATCTTTTTCGGCAACCCAAAATAGGAACCACGCTGGAGACGATAGGTATGTACCCAACATCGTTCCGCGAGTATCTTTTAGAGTCCCAACACACGATGCAGCACCTGAAATTCGAGCGGATTTCATGCTGTAGATTTCGCCCAGAGTCCGAAACCTCAGAAAGAGAGGCGGGTTTTCCACGGCCGGCACGGGACTGTGGACTGTTTCAAAAACCGCCGCCGGTGCAGGGGCGCCTCGCCCCATCACGAGCCGTCACTATCCAAATCTTTTCACCCTGAATGACACAACTTCACAGGGTTGCCACTAATCTGCTTTGGACACGGATGACGACAAAGATATCGATGAGTACGCTGGCGACGATGCGTAGTTCATGACGATGATCACAAGAGGAAGGCCTCTCAGAACCAGCAGTGCAGGAGGCAGCAACAAACCGTCATCCGAGCTGCCATCACCACCATCATCATGGCATATCATCGTCATCGTAGCAGTACCACATCATGTGCGCGCTTGATGCTCCCTGCTCGCTACCCAGGAGCACCGGCTCCGAGCACGCTCCCCAGGCCTGGATCTGCAGTGATAATGAGCACAGCCCCGTGTGTGGTTAGATTGCGGGGCTTCTTAACTAGAGTCTTCCTTTCAAAGAGGCTCCGTATAATACTTGCTGTATAGGGTCTAGAACTATATTTTCGAAAATCGCCGCTTGCGAGGCTACCAACGCGTGACAACCCCAGCACAGATTCGCTGAGACCCGAAGGAAGTGTCGGCCTCTCTTGCACCATCGCTTGGCTAAGGCGATGGCGCCAGAAGGGTAAAGCCGAGGGAAAGGGCAAGGGCAGCGGCAAAGGCTCATCCGGATTACTGCACAAGAGAAGAATATATATATATATATATATATATATAATACTCACATGATTGCTAGATCATGACAATGTATGTGCTATGTACTTGGTTCTTTCTTTATGTACATAGTGTGATTTTTCTGGTTATTACATTCTCGAACCGATCCTCGACAGATTCCCAAGCCCTTGCAGGCAAGTCGAAGACCTCAACTGCTGAGCCCAAGGCGGAACAGAAGTGGAATCCGGCCGTCGCCTGATTGGGTTTCAGTTTTAATGTTTATCATAGTATTACTGGGTTTAGGTTCTATGATAGTACTATTGGGTTTAGGTTTCATTATATTGCTAGTGGGTCCATGTTTCAGTATCGTCATTATAGCATTCTGTTGTTGTTGTTGTTGTTGTTGTTGTTGTTGTTGTTGTTGTTGTTGTTGTTGTTGTTGTTGTTGTTGTTGTTGTTGTTGTTGTTGTTGTTGTTGTTGTTGTTGTTGTTGTTGTTGTTGTTGTTGTTGTTGTTGTTGTTGTTGTTGTTGTTGTTGTTGTTGTTGTTGTTGTTGTTGTTGTTGTTTTTTGTTGTTGTTGTTGTTGTTGTTGTTGTTGTTGTTGTTGTGGTTGTTGTTGTTGTTGTTGTTGTTGTTGTTGTTGTTGTTGTTGTTGTTGTTGTTGTTGTTGTTGTTGTTGTTGTTGTTGTTGTTGTTGTTGTTGTTGTTGTTGTTGTTGTTGTTGTTGTTGTTGTTGTTGTTGTTGTTGTTGTTGTTGTTGTTGTTGTTTTGGTTGTTGTTGTTGTTGTTGTTGTTGTTGTTGTTGTTGTTGTTGTTGTTGTTGTTGTTGTTGTTGTTGTTGTTGTTGTTGTTGTTGTTGTTGTTGTTGTTGTTGTTGTTGTTGTTGTTGTTGTTGTTGTTGTTGTTGTTGTTGTTGTTGTTGTTGTTGTTGTTGTTGTTGTTGTTGTTGTTGTTGTTGTTGTTGTTGTTGTTGTTGTTGTTGTTGTTGTTGTTGTTGTTGTTGTTGTTGTTGTTGTTGTTGTTGTTGTTAATTCAGCCGTTCAGTTGTTATAGTTCGTTTCCCCGAAGCTTCTTGCTATGTATGTACAATTCTTCATGTATGGTTATTCGTTATCATGTTCAGTGCGACTCCCAACATGACTCAGATGTGTTCTTTCTCCATAGGTATTTGCTTGCTTCTGTCTGCTTTGTTTGGTTATAAAATACTCAAGAGAAGTCATCGCCATCATCATCAGTACAAACGCGTTCGCATGAGTCTCAATCACTACTCTTCACATGCTCAAGGACGAGGCACACACCGGCTTGTCTGAGGCTGCAAAGAGATCCAAGTGAGTTCGCATTGTGATGAACTTTCTTACCCGGCGAATCTGATGCCGGAAAGAGAGGAATCAGCCAGCTGAGCTTGGAGTTTGTGTTACCCTGTGACGAACCTGACTTTCCTTCATCAGCAGTGTTAGTGGGATCGATCGGGCCCATGGGGGAAGTTGCGATGATATGCTGCACTTTTCCATGCCTGACCGTGCAGAAGGGTTGGGCCGTCGTGCTGGGGCAGCAGTTCTAAACTTCTCAGCTCATGTGCAGATGGCCTGTGCTCCCTGAACTTCGCACGAATAAGGTACAACACCTGTCCCTATGAATTCAACCTAGTACGTGCTACCTGTCTGCCTGGAGCCAGCCCCTTCAGTGCCAGGATTGACTGACGCACTGACTAAGTCGCACTGCCTCCATCACTTGTAGCCATGAAACAACGAAGGGCAAGACTGGCCGGCGAGAGACATGTGGCGCTCATGCCTGTGCCGGCAACTGTCGGCACGCTGTTCCTCTCGCCAGTGCCCACGAGACGTGGCGGCCTGTGGGACAGTGAGCTGAGGTGTTTCTAGTCTTACTTCGCAAAGGGCATCAGTCTTAGGGGGACGGCAGGATGGATGAAAGCACAGGGCCCTTTCTGGCTTTCTTCAGCTCATTGCTCATCGCGAGCGAGCGGACACGCACAGTCAATCTCTGACGCCGCAACAGCTTTCTTACTTGATGCGGAAAGCACATCCTGTCAATGGAGCCGGGAGTCCAGCAAGTGCATCGTGATGAGTTCAGCCGGGCAGGCCTGTGAGGTTGCATGACATGTTTCATAGGACTGACCTGGACTGCGGCTATCCAAGTGTCCATACAACGAGACTTTCCATGGCCGTGTGACAGCAGATGCCACGCACTCCATAGTTTGAAATCGAAAAGTCTCGGCTTACGGCGAACCGGTTGAGATTCCTTTCATCACATGTCACCTGTTCTTGCTTCGAAAATGCCTCTTCAGGTCCCGGTTCAAGAAGGTTGACTTCAGAGCTCAACATGGGAATCATGGGACATGTGCAGCCAAGCCGGCTAGCCTGCAGGCAAAGCATGCTCTGGAGGATTTCGTCCAGCAGGAGTGTACTGTAGTGAGGCTAGAGGGCGCAACATGTGGTTTCAAGTCTCGTGCCCGTCAAGGTAAGTACTGTAGAATCTCGGATGGGATGCAGTCTCCGGTCGCTGGCATCCATGACTTCGTCGAGCGAGCCAACCAATGGAGCCCTGTTCGCAAGAGCGGGACAGGATGGACAGGGAACAGGGTGATAGTCCTGTTACTGTCATTTCAAAAGGCCTGCACGAGTGTGGAAGCCAAGGGCAAGGCCTCATGTGGCTCTGGCTACGGACCAGGCTGCGAAAGGCCGCACTTTGGAGCATGAAATCCACGGTGTGACGCAGCACTTGTCTTGTGTGACATGCCCTGCCATGCCAGGATCAACAATGCCTTGAAGTCCATGCAGGCTCTGAGAAGCTCTTACCTGCCCTTGTGTAATTGAAGGGGTGCTCCGAGTCTCTTGCAACGAGGCAGCCTTTGGATGCATCGCTTTTGAGTCTCTTCGATATGAGCCCCATCGATCACGAAGATATGGAGGCCGAGATTGCTGTCACATCATGTTGTAACCGCAGTGTTCGACATGTCTGACAGTATCTTCCGCCAAACTTTGATCGAGGCAGTTCGGGGAACACGGAAGGGTGCGCGATTTCTGCACGAAGCGCCGGTGGAGGACGGTGTTCGCAACATTTGGCCACTCGTACAGCATCTATGCCACATACTTTAGCATGTGATAGAATGTACTTTTCAGCCAGGTGACTGCAGCGGTTGTCAAAGCTCTGTCGATTTGTTCCTTCGAGGTTGCTTTAGCTCAGACTTCCCTGACGTTGTTGAGTGTCGTGTTCCGAGCTCTTGCATCTTTCCCGACCGCAATGTTCTTATGTGTAAGCCACGATGTATATGTACATGTATATGTATATGTATATGTATGTGTACGTGTATGTTTGCATGCGTCTGCATATGTTTATGTATACATACATACATCAGTTATCGTTTGGACCTTTCGGCAAGTATTCTGGCAATTTAGCCTTCGTAGCCCCTGCGAGATAACTTCCTGGGTTCGGGCTTGGAGTTTGGGGTCAGGTGCCCGAGGAGAGTGGCCGAGTGGTTTCAGAGCAATGGGGAGGGGAGTTCTGTCATGTTTGCGATTCAAAGGTACAAGACCATCACATTCAAAACTAAATCCCGAAGCCTTCAAACCTTGAGTACACTTCGCCCTCTGTAGAACCCTACCGCCCTAAATCCACTAGTGTCCTGTCCCTATAATCCCCTTGACGTTATAAACCCTTTCCAAACCGCATAAGAACACGATGAGAGCGCTGTAAACATCACAAAAAAACCTGCAAAAATTTCAATCTCCGTGCCGCTGCAGTCCTGTCGTCACTGCGACCGTGGCCGAACGCGAGGCGAATGTTTTCGGCACATCGATTATGCATATAAGCAAGCGCTAGCCTACTTTTGCCATTATTCAACCCTCACGTGAAACCAAAGGCTTTTGGATGCACACTCTATGCCCGTCGACTGTGAGCGCATGGGTAGGGATCTGCTCTGTTCGGACAAGTGCTTGATGTCATCTGTTATGGGTTGTTCGATGTGTGCTATACGATTCTATGCAGGGTTATGTTAATATGCGCTCTGTTATGTGATGTTATGTCATGTTCAGCACAAGCCTCAAAGTTTCGGACAGGTCAGTGCATGTCGCAGGTCGCCTCGGCGCGGCTTGGGATTTCCGGTCAAGTCTGGCCTACGGTGACGAAAGGCTCCGTCGTCTTGGGGCACCAAGTCCTACCATGCCCTCAGCCACCAGCTGAGTCCTTTGTGCTTACGCAAAACCCGATACACTCAATTGCTGAGCCTCATGGCACAAAGCAGTTCTAGGATTCTGTACTGTACAGGCCTCGACGACCACTCTACATCGCAGACCCTAAACTGCACCCTAAACCCTCAAAGCCTCTGGACGTGCCAACGAACCCCCCCAACTCTAAACCTTAAACTGCATCCAGCAGCATTGCATTAGGCGGAGATGCTGCAGACGCTCCACTTCTTAAGCGTCCCGCAGCAGCGCCCCCAGTGGTGTCGGTGTTGATTAGGCTTCAGTAGGTTTGGATAAGAATGCATGAAAATGTCTGGGTCTGCATGCGGAACAAACCCTGAACAACACCGACAGCATGGTCTTTGGCACAAGTTGTCTCCCGGCCCGGGCGGATTCGCCAAGAAGTTTCGGCTTTAGGTATTATGTGGCTTAGGCTGGAGACTTCCACTGGTTTTAGGAGTTAGGCCGTGAGAATCCTTTGTAATTTAGGCTTCAAATTGAGCCGGACGCTCCACGGCAACAAAGCCAGAGCTGCAGCATTGCACACAAAAGCCTTAGAATTATGTGCCCATGTTCATGGCTCGAACCGTGAACATCGGCTACCAAATGCTTGCCAAAACGTGACACCCAGCCCGAAGCCCTTGAAGCCTCACACACCCTGAAGCTCGGACGCCCTATATAGAAGCTCTTGCAGGGCCCCTGTTTTGCACGTATGTCCGTTTACATCTACACTGCGTGCCGCTCTTGATTCGAAACAGATATGGTGCGTTGCGTTCACAGAGTTTGTTGATCAACTCCGGCGGCCAGCTGTGTTGAATCATTGCTCCAGGGCTTTTGGGACTGAGAGCGGTGGACGATGTCTTGAGTTTTCTTCACGCGCAATGGGGCCAACCCCTCACCGTTGGTTGTTAAGACGGGGTCTTTACAGCCGCAGGTTTGGTTCAATCTTAGGTGCTTCCAAAAGTCAATGCTGGGGGATAGACACCGTCGAACAAGTCGTCTGGTGCCACGAGCGCAATGTCGTTGACGGCAGGATGATATCGGAGCTCGCGATACCGGACATTTACGCCACTGATCCCACGGAGGTGCGCCTGGAAGAGGGAGTTCAAAGAACTTTTCGCTGCAGTATATCAGTATGCCTTCAGTTATGCAAACCGTGCATGTATGCACATATGCAAGTTTGCACGCACACAATTAGACATGATTATGTACCTAGGTATATGTTTATACGTATGTATATGTAAGTATAGATATACGTGTACATGTATTTATGCATACGGATATGTATATATATATATATATATATATATACACATAGACATATACACATACATATACATAATACGCATGCATCTACGTAAACTTTTTACATATACATCTAATATACATATACATGTATACATATACTTACATACTTACACATTGACATACGTATACACGCACATGCATGCATGCATACATAGAAACATCCACACATGTATACACATGGACACGCATATGGACATACACATTCACATGCACATGCCTATACACATGTACATACATATCCCCAGGTACACAGACACACATAAAACTATGTACATACATACATGCAAGTGATCACTAGCCCCAGGATCCACAATATCCTCTTGCACGGCTTGTTTCCGAGCTCTACTACTTTCTATTGAGTCACAACTTCCTGAGCCCGCTAGCCATTTTGCTCAAAAACGCACGGGGCTTTCAAAACCCATTGCCGCACTCCCCCGCGAGATGGGGAACATATTCACTGAGGAGCAGGAGCCTGCGGCTTATACTTTCTGGTGACCAGTGGCGGGATCAGCATCTGCGTATTCGGGAACCAGCAAGCAATCGACCTTTCGAAAGGCCCTTCAACGGGGGAAGCCGAAGGACCTTATAGGCGCCCTTAGCACAGAACACCCGAGCCCAAAAGAAGCCTTGACCCACCCATCGGCGGGCGGAGAGAGAGCACTTGGGTAGTCGGACAACTCAACCAACTGCTGAAGCTACAAAGCCCTAACCGCCCTAACCATGAAAACCCTAAACCTTTTCACGATCTGAATCTATGAAGCTTTTTCCGCGAAGCGTCGCCCCGAGCAATGAGCTGCAAGTCCCGAGTCTTGGCCCCGGAGCCCTCAAAGTAACTGAGCCCTGGAGTCGAGGGTGTCGGAACCTGGAACTGGGAAGCCCCAGTGCTGACCTGACCGACGTGCTCCCACCGAGGGCGATGCCCGGCCCTCCGGAAGATCTTGGAGATCATTTTTTGCCGCCTTCCAGGTTAGGGGTTTAGGAGCGCGCCGAGGCCGAGCGCCAGGCGCCGGCCAGGCTGCTGCTACGGGTAATTCTGAGTTGGTGTGGAATCTTAGACTTACGGAGGGCTCCTGACTTGCTCAGCCTTAGAGGGAGGAGGGGGGTCGAATATTCGGTCGGAGCCCAAAGCAGCATGGAACGTGTACCGTAATGGAGTCAGCGGGGAAGTGAGCGCGCAGAGAACGGAAACAGACCGGGCTGTTGTATTGCACAGCCGGGTTAGATAGAATTAGCCGACAACAAGCATCATGTCATGTTTGCGTGTGCGGCTGCAGCAAAGACCAGACTATGGATGCTTTGAGAACGTAAGTAAAGGTAGATCCAGGTGTATGCCCCCGCTGAGATCCCAGTAAGCAACACGCAAAGATCATGACAAGTATGCATGGCTGTGCCGCAATGCCCCAGATAAGGATCATGCAATCCATGTGTAGGCACGTATAAGGTAAACAATCTCAGGCGGCTACATCCAAAATGTGCAAAGCTGCAAAACACGGAGTTGTGGATGCAGCCGGAAGGCAAGTAACTGTGCGTTGCAATGTTTTGCGGAGCAAAGCACACATCCCACACCGTCAATGCATGTCATGCAGCACCCAATAAGCGAACAACAAGCACTACGTCTTGTATGCTTATGTGCACGTAATTGCAAGGTGCACAGATTTACGCCGCACAGGTACACAGATTTACGCTGCACATCCCCAGTATGGTCAAAGCTACAGCACGCCGAGTCCGCCTTGAAAGTAGATGTTTTTAAGTCGGTGTTAAGGTTCAGGTGCTTCGGGGTTCCAGGTTCATGATCTTTTGGGTCGCTGCTGCACACACCTGCTGGAAGGACTTGGTTGACAACTATGGATCATGCGCGGAACGATGCGCAGGACCTTGCTCTTGCAAGGCTCCTTCGTCAGGCCGGAAGCCGGACAGCCATGCATTCAGTCTGCTTAGTGGGGTAGACGTGTGCGGGTTGAGTGTTCAGGGTTTAGAGTTGAACCAGGAGCTATCAGCTATGATCCACGTCCCTTGCACGTGCTGCTGCTGGCAGATGCATCGACAAGGAATTGCAGTTCCCGTCATGAGGCCGGGGACTTGGCTCCATCCAGGGTTTGTCAGCTGGTGTTGTAATTCTGCTGGCGCATCTGTTAAACCTTCAAAGACTTTACTTTCTAAAGCCCAGCTGTGATGTTGGTGGCTGCAACGGTTCTGGCCCTTTCGGGAGATCCTGCTTCGACTGTGTTAGAAGCGTCTCACACAACTAGAAGTTGCATTGTCCTTAGACGCTCCATGGTATTCGTCACAGTCGGCGTCGCTGGCTTTCACCCCGATGTCGTGCGGTATTGACGTCCTTTACTTTTTCGTTTTCCCTTTGTCTTCTGAGCAGCTCGATCTAAACCGCAATAAGCGAACCCAAATTCTTTCGACCCCTAGTCAAAAAGCAATCGAAATGCTATATGGCCATAAGTCCGAACGCGTTGAAACGCTCCGTCTCGCCTTTCTGAATCCACAAGCCAGCCTCAAGCCAGAAATTCACATTTAAGCAATCCGACGGAAGCCACACCTAAGACAAACCTAGGTGTTTTTGTTTGGTACCCGGCCTTTTTTTGATCACACATCCGGTGGCATCAACGACCCACACATCCTACTCCTCAGACTCGGAATACACACAAGCCTCAAGCCCCAAGCCCCGAGACCCTCAGCGCTCAAATTGAATGAAAAACCGAAGTATAACACCTTGAACCGGTACGCCGGTTTCATCTTACAGGCACAAGCACGACAAGGATCCATTCGCGAGGCCGGCAGTGCAGTTGGCTAGGCATTGGCCAGGGGATTATTTCGAGTTTAAGGTTTTGTGTTCAGTGGGTCCGTGCTGGCAAAAGTCTCATCCCACCCAAACATCAGGCCCCCCACGGGCTGCTTCAAATTGAAACTTAAACCGTCCTGGGAATGGTCTTGGGATGTGTCTCTGGTGTGGTTTCCCTGTGCTGTATCATTTGGTCTCTTCGCTGTTTGGGGCCTATGCGACTCATGAACATCTCATTTGGGCTCCGATCAAAATACAAGCGTCGTAGTTGAAAGAAGACGCGGAATCCGGCTGCAATGTAGGCTTGCATGAGCGCAGACCCGGCAGTACGGCTGGAGAGACACACAAGCACACAGGATGCATGCGCAAAAATCAGGTGGCAAGAAAGGTGGAGCTAGCGTAACAGGCTTTGCAAGGGAACAGGAAATGAACGATTCCCTCTGAAATGCGTGTATTTGATGCTTTGAGCCGTTTGGTGGTTGGAGGAATCTGAGCTTCAGTAGCTCACTAGTTCTTATTACCGGGAAGCCGACGGAAGTTGAGACAATCTGAACAGCAAGGACATCTTCCGGAGTATTGTAAGCCAAAGCCCCAGACGAACACCGTGCTGACATCAAAAGACACTTCTCGTCCGACGACTCTATCATTGACATTGATTCCAAGCATTCCGTGGCAGGCCGCTTCCCTTCATCCTGGGCCATGAGCGATTCCGTGCATCGGTTCTCCGATGATCCCCAAACGCAACAGAATCTTTCGAACAGCCCATAAACCTCCTGACTCTACATCAGCATTTCTTAAACGCACAAGGCAATGTCTGAAGATGTTTCTTCATGCCCAATTAGCACCTCCCCGAATTGTGCCTTGAACACCCTCGATATTGAACACAGTTTCACCCGCGCGCAAGTGACTGTCAAGATTTGCGTCAAACTTTCGCTGAGCAAAGAAGCTTGCTATGCTACATGCTGCGATGTTTGCTGAAGCCTTCGAGTTGCGTAAAGTCGTGATCTATTGGAACCTCTGCGAGCTCCAGGCACTCCGGGCAAAGTAGGAAACTTCGTTGATGTCTTAGGGTTCCGGTTTCAAGATGGCCAGGCTTTGTGGTTTAGCTTTGTGGTTTAATCCCATAACACCGAGAACCACTCCCCATGTAAACACAGAACGACATGTTTGCTGATGATCTTTTGATGGCAGAGCACAGGAGCACACGTTCGAATCCGATAAAGACATAGCGCCCTCTCAAAACATGAAGCCTCAATCACCTTCAAGGTACTAGTTGGAGGGTGCTAGTTGGACCAGCTGGTTGCTTCAGGTTACATATTGGTGCGGTTGTTCAGACTCAATCCAGGAACCTGGAGGGTGCCAGTTGGACACGCTGGTTTCTCTAGGTTGCATGTTTGGGTGCGATTTGCAAGTCTCGATCTAAGGACCTTGAGGGTGCTAGTTGGACCAGCTGGTTCCGTCAGGCTACATTTTTCGTGCGACTTGCAAGTTTGAAATAGCGCCCGCCCAAACATGCAACGTAAAGAAACCGGCGTGTCCAACTGGCACCCTCAAGGTTCTTAGGTTGAGACTAACAAATCGCTTCAAAAGTGCTATCTAGAAAAACCGTCATGTCCAACTAGCGCCCTCAAACTTCCTAGATTGAAACGTGCAAATCGCAAAACACAAGTAATCTAGATAAGCCCTGATAAGCCAGGGTGTCCAACCAGCACCCTCAAGTTTGCCAAAATTGAGACTTTGAAATCGTGTCAAAGATGCAACCCAGAGGAACCAGCGTGTCCAACTAGCACCCTCAAGGTTCCGAGATTGAGACGTAAAAACCGCACCCAAACATGTAACCTAGAGAAACCAGCGTGTCCAACTATTTAGAGGGTTCCTAGATTGAGACGTACAAATCGACCAAAGAAAAATTCACCTAAAGAAACCATGGCATTTCGCATCGTACCAAGTATCTCCGACAGGGAAGCAATCTGAGTTGCTTTCGAACCTTTTCATTTAATTACCGAAACGAAGTGGAGCTGGGCCAGGATTGGAAGCAGCTTCCTAGTAGAGATGGTGGAGGCGACGTCCGAGGCCGGCATGATATGCTCTTGGCCTTGCAGCACAAAATGGGATAGAGTAATGTGCTAAAATACCATCCGCAGCCCCATGTTGCCGGGCTGCTGCGATTTCTGGAGCTGGCTGTTCCCTCTCCAAATCTTCGGGCCGTGTGCATCTGTGGTTCTGCCTGCGATGACAGCATGCATTGCTTGCCACGGGCAAAGATTAAGGGTATAGGCTTGAAGATAGGGGTCGACACCACCAGTACAGTCGAGGAGCGAACTGTTTTGGGTTTGAGTGTTTTGCCCTAGAACCTGCATCCAGAAGCGGATAAAGGAAACTTTGGGTTCCGTCGAAAATACACGTGTTTGGGTCGACATCTAAGTCTACCTAGCTTTAGTGTGATGTCTGTGAAAGTTGCAGCTTCGTGACCTATTGAAGCGATTGGCCAGCCGATGCATGCACCTGTGCATGTACTTTGCGCCGCTTGCCAGTTGCCCCACCACGTAGAGCCAGTTCTGGGCAGAAGCAGAAGGACGAGGAGCGCCACGCTCAGATCACTTCGGAGATCGGGGCGCCGGGGGTTGGAAATCCCTGAAGAAAGAAGTCCTCCCAAAGTCGCTTGCAGCCGAACTTCCCTGACACCGTCGAAATGCCCAGTGTAACGGAGGGGCGAGCAGATGAGGATTTATGTAGGTTCGCAAAGACGTTCCACGGTCTGGCGGGACCACGGTCCACAACATGTCAATATTATGACAATACAAACCCGCGGTTTCAGTGACGAACCCGAACTCAACATTTCCCACAGTACCCTGCTTATTTACGAGTCACAGGTTTAAGACTTTGTGGGGCTTTGTTTGTTCAGCTAGGGCTTCTGCGCACTTTCAATCTGCAAGCCTACCTGAGGCTAAACCCTCAGCTATCCATAGGCCCACCTTACAGCTCCGCCCAGTCTGTGACATCATAATAGTACCGGCCGTACAGATAGTGGCGATAGAGCTCGTAAGAGATGAAGCTAGTGAGAGCGACTTGTCGCAAGCCAAAGTCCCCAACTCGAATCAGCCTATGCATTGGCTATACTCACGAATCTCGCTGTACTTCTGGCATCACAGGGGTGACGGCTCTTGTCCCGTACTGCGCCGTGAAACAATGCCACTATAGTCTGCATCTCTTGTACCGTCTGCAGGTAGTGTTGCGATGCTCGTTGCAAGTCCATAGCGTTGATCGTATCCGGCAAGCACTTTCCGTAGAGCTGTTTCCGAACGAAAGAGGCTGAAGACTCCAAGACCAGTCGCTTAAACCCCAGTGCCAAAAACACCGTCCGTTTCGACGATATCCGAGCTGCCAGGGCCGACCTGGCGAAAAATCAACGCCATCATGTTCCAGGTGGAGCAGGCATGAATGACTCCGGGTTTTGTCAGCATCATAATCGGCACGATGTACTACCTGTAGCATCCTCGCCAGCATCGCCACCATGAAAGCGGTCGAAAATACAAAAGGTTACAACCAGGTGAACCACTGTGTGCAAATCATATGTATGTACACATGCTTCTGCACATAAATGAATCAAAGAGCAAGAATTCCGCGTGTGGTAGGCTACAGCTTCTTGGCATGAGACTCAAAGATTAATGGTTCCAGAGCACATGCGCAGTGTTAAAGCTTTTTGCTCAGAGGGGCAATACCTTCAGAGGACCCTGCTTAGGTTCCGCTTAGGAGCACGACCTGGTGTCTTTCGAGGCCCTTTTGCATGCACCCTGTCGTGGCAGGACGTACAAGGGGACGGAATCATTGAGAACGAGGACCCTGTGAAAATCGCTTCTGCAGAGAAACCTAAACAGATACTTGCTTTGCACATGTGATGCTTCCTGGGGCGGCTGCAGGAGTTTATCCCGATGGCTCGGCAGATCACCCAGCGCATGTGAGACCAGCCCGAGATTCTGCTTGATATGTATGAGTAGGAAATACTAGGCAAACAAACGCATCCAAGTATATTCGAACAAAATGGCATGTGGGGAAACATACAGTCAAGGATATGAACATGATGTATACTCGAGTTTGGGCACCACTGTTTACATGCCTTGTCTTCCTGGCCCATGTGTCTGCGCCAGCGGCATGCCTCCCCAACCGTTCAGCCCGTGCTTTGTGTGTGCACCAGGTACGCTAAGAAGCGACTGGAGCAGCAAAGCGCAAGATCCTTATCCCTTGTGTGACTTGTGTCTGCGCTCATCTTGACTGCATCCAGACCTGACCTGCACTTTCATGTGTTTTTGCATGTCCAATGCGCACGCATGAATGCTTGAATTCGAGTAGGTGGGTGATTGCTTACTGTGTGTGTGTGTGCGCGCCTGCGCATGCATAGCTACTGTCCACATCCGTGTGTGCGTATATGAGTTGGTATGCATGCTGGTGTGTACATATGCATGTGTGTGCGCATGTGCGTATGTAGGTGTGTATATAGGTGTCTAGTATAGGCGTGTATGTACATGTGTGGGTATGTATGGACAGCAACATGCACGATTTGCATCCTAGCGTCCTGTCATCTACAATTCTGGAGTAAGTGCGTTTTATTGCAATCATGCTTTGTATGTGCAGGGTTAACAATACTCTATTTTTCGCAGCGGAGGTATTGCGAGCTCCGAAGAGGACGGGCCGCGGCCACCTCAGTTATCCCTGGTTTCGGTTGGTGTCAGTTCCTCGGCACTTTCGTGAGCGACGACTTACGGCTTCCCGTGTACCAGTTTGTGGTTAACCTTGCGGCCTCACGGTTCAGGATTACCCAAAACGGGGCGTCTGCAGGCCTCACTCTATTCTGGAGCCCTTATGAGCATCATAAAGTCATCAATCTTTGTGTCGGGTAGTGTAAGATCTGAGAGGGGCGGGTGCTGTGCAAGCAAGGCTCACAAAGGCCTGTGCCCCTTGTTTGTACTATCATTTGCACAATAGCACTATTGAAAAAGCGGCATCAGTGCTTTGGCCAGTTTAACCATCGCCATCATCGTCGGCACGCGCACCTTAGCCTTCTCCATCCTAGCGTCAGTAGCAGCATGGATATGAAGGCCCTGCAAACCCAATAGCCCAAACACCAAAACTCCCCACGAAACACTCAGCCGAATGTCGTGAGGATTTCAGCCTCTGGGCTCCAGCGACGTGGACATGTCAGAAATGTCCTTTTCAAACTTCGTTTCGGCTCGAATGCCCGGGACATTCACTTGCGAAGCTCCCCCATGCCAGCCTGCGATTTCAAGGACAGGGAGGTGCGCGCTCGTGCTCGAGCGCTTTGCGCCGGCCGAGCTGCTGCGACCTGGGAAGGGGGCAGGGGATGGGGCTTCTCCACATATATATTCAGAACCCTAAATCTCCATCCCCCGGGCCCGACAAGAGTAGCTTCGAAGTGCAGGCTGTGCAACTAAGGCTTGTCCCATTACGGCTACTACGCAACTTAGCAACGGTACTTGGGGACACGATTACGTTACCATCCCAAGCTGGTGTGGCTGTGAGCAACGGTACTTGGGGACACGATTGCGTTACCATCCCAAGCTGGTGGCTGTGAGCAACTTAGCAACGGTACTTGGGGACACGATTACGTTACCATCCCAAGCTGGTGGCTGTGGGCAACTTAGCACGGTACTTGGGGACACGATTACGTTACCATCCCAAGCTGGTGGCTGTGAGCAACTTAGCACGGTACTTGGGGACACGATTACGTTACCATCCCAAGCTGGTGGCTGTGAGCAACTTAGCACGGTACTTGGGGACACGATTACGTTACCATCCCAAGCGGGTGGCTGTGAGCAACTTAGCACGGTACTTGGGGACACGATTACGTTACCATCCCAAGCGGGTGGCTGTGAGCAACTTAGCACGGTACTTGGGGACACGATTACGTTACCATCCCAAGCGGGTGGCTGTGAGCAACTTAGCACGGTACTTGGGGACACGATTACGTTACCATCCCAAGCGGGTGGCTGTGAGCAACTTAGCACGGTACTTGGGGACACGATTACGTTACCATCGTTAGCACACTTCACGATTAGCGGGTGGCTGTGAGCAACTTAGCACGGTACTTGGGGACACGATTACGTTACCATCCCAAGCGGGTGGCTGTGAGCAACTTAGCACGGTACTTGGGGACACGATTACGTTACCATCCCAAGCTGGTGGCTGTGAGCAACTTAGCACGGTACTTGGGGACACGATTACGTTACCATCCCAAGCTGGTGGCTGTGGGCAACTTAGCACGGTACTTGGGGACACGATTACGTTACCATCCCAAGCTGGTGGCTGTGAGCAACTTAGCACGGTACTTGGGGACACGATTACGTTACCATCCCAAGCTGGTGGCTGTGAGCAACTTAGCACGGTACTTGGGGACACGATTACGTTACCATCCCAAGCGGGTGGCTGTGAGCAACTTAGCACGGTACTTGGGGACACGATTACGTTACCATCCCAAGCGGGTGGCTGTGAGCAACTTAGCACGGTACTTGGGGACACGATTACGTTACCATCCCAAGCGGGTGGCTGTGAGCAACTTAGCACGGTACTTGGGGACACGATTACGTTACCATCCCAAGCGGGTGGCTGTGAGCAACTTAGCACGGTACTTGGGGACACGATTACGTTACCATCCCAAGCGGGTGGCTGTGAGCAACTTAGCACGGTACTTGGGGACACGATTACGTTACCATCCCAAGCTGGTGGCTGTGAGCAACTTAGCACGGTACTTGGGGACACGATTACGTTACCATCCCAAGCGGGTGGCTGTGAGCAACTTAGCACGGTACTTGGGGACACGATTACGTTACCATCCCAAGCGGGTGGCTGTGAGCAACTTAGCACGGTACTTGGGGACACGATTACGTTACCATCCCAAGCGGGTGGCTGTGAGCAACTTAGCACGGTACTTGGGGACACGATTACGTTACCATCCCAAGCGGGTGGCTGTGAGCAACTTAGCACGGTACTTGGGGACACGATTACGTTACCATCCCAAGCGGGTGGCTGTGAGCAACTTAGCACGGTACTTGGGGACACGATTACGTTACCATCCCAAGCGGGTGGCTGTGAGCAACTTAGCACGGTACTTGGGGACACGATTACGTTACCATCCCAAGCTGGTGGCTGTGGGCAACTTAGCACGGTACTTGGGGACACGATTACGTTACCATCCCAAGCTGGTGGCTGTGAGCAACTTAGCACGGTACTTGGGGACACGATTACGTTACCATCCCAAGCTGGTGGCTGTGAGCAACTTAGCACGGTACTTGGGGACACGATTACGTTACCATCCCAAGCGGGTGGCTGTGAGCAACTTAGCACGGTACTTGGGGACACGATTACGTTACCATCCCAAGCTGGTGGCTGTGAGCAACTTAGCACGGTACTTGGGGACACGATTACGTTACCATCCCAAGCTGGTGGCTGTGAGCAACTTAGCACGGTACTTGGGGACACGATTACGTTACCATCCCAAGCTGGTGGCTGTGGGCAACTTAGCACGGTACTTGGGGACACGATTACGTTACCATCCCAAGCTGGTGGCTGTGGGCAACTTAGCACGGTACTTGGGGACACGATTACGTTACCATCCCAAGCTGGTGGCTGTGAGCAACTTAGCACGGTACTTGGGGACACGATTACGTTACCATCCCAAGCGGGTGGCTGTGAGCAACTTAGCACGGTACTTGGGGACACGATTACGTTACCATCCCAAGCGGGTGGCTGTGAGCAACTTAGCACGGTACTTGGGGACACGATTACGTTACCATCCCAAGCGGGTGGCTGTGAGCAACTTAGCACGGTACTTGGGGACACGATTACGTTACCATCCCAAGCGGGTGGCTGTGAGCAACTTAGCACGGTACTTGGGGACACGATTACGTTACCATCCCAAGCTGGTGGCTGTGAGCAACTTAGCACGGTACTTGGGGACACGATTACGTTGCCATCCCAAGCGGGTGGCTGTGAGCAACTTAGCACGGTACTTGGGGACACGATTACGTTACCATCCCAAGCGGGTGGCTGTGAGCAACTTAGCACGGTACTTGGGGACAGGCTGTGAGCAACTTAGCACGGTACTTGGGGACACGATTACGTTACCATCCCAAGCGGGTGGCTGTGAGCAACTTAGCACGGTACTTGGGGACACGATTACGTTACCATCCCAAGCGGGTGGCTGTGAGCAACTTAGCACGGTACTTGGGGACACGATTACGTTACCATCCCAAGCGGGTGGCTGTGAGCAACTTAGCACGGTACTTGGGGACACGATTACGTTACCATCCCAAGCGGGTGGCTGTGAGCAACTTAGCACGGTACTTGGGGACACGATTACGTTACCATCCCAAGCGGGTGGCTGTGAGCAACTTAGCACGGTACTTGGGGACACGATTACGTTACCATCCCAAGCGGGTGGCTGTGAGCAACTTAGCACGGTACTTGGGGACACGATTTTACGTTACCATCCCAAGCGGGTGGCTGTGAGCAACTTAGCACGGTACTTGGGGACACGATTACGTTACCATCCCAAGCGGGTGGCTGTGAGCAACTTAGCACGGTACTTGGGGACACGATTACGTTACCATCCCAAGCAGGTGGCTGTGAGCAACTAAACGATAACTTTTGTTTGACGGTGGTGCCTTTGGAAGGACATGAGCCATCCGGCATTCTTGCCAGCTAGCGACCTGAGCTGTTGTTCACCTATTCTTGCGACTTGTGGACATCTTGGGATATGCAACTGCAGATGGGTTGCAAGATGCTGCATCCCACCGAGAACCACGCCTGTTCCGCGCACCTGTCATGAGTGATACTCCTTGGTAGCTTGTATAACGATAAGGAGTAAACAGAAGCGATGACCCAGTTTGGGGATATGGGGTTCGCAGCTCATAGCGGGGTTTTTATACAACCCGTTATGGTGTTTTTGTAACTGTAGTTACTGAACACTGGGGTCATGTTTTGAGGGGTTCTTGATAATGAGGTTGCGCTTTTTATTGGCGCTTCCGACACTCCCTTTACCTTCAGAATTGGAAACCGAGCCCCGATGCCACGCTAAGGATGCAAACCCCCATGCCCGTGATTAGGCGCTTGTCGTAGCCGCAGCAGCAACAAAGTGTACAGTAGTGTATAGCAGAAGCAGTAGTAGTCGTCGTATTAGTAGTGAAGAGTCGTCGTCGTAGTCGTTGTCGTCGTCGTAGCGGTAGTAGTAGCAGCAGTAGTAGAAGGAGTAGTAGAAGTAGTAGTAGCAGTAGCAGTAGTCGGAGTATATAGGAGTAAGGGGCAGGAGTAGGAGGAGGAGGCGGAGGAGGAGGCGGAGGAGGAGGAGTAGGAGTAGGAGTAGGAGTAGGAGTAGGAGTAGGAGTAGGAGTAGGAGTAGGAGTAGGAGGAGGAGGAGGAGGAGGAGTAGGAGTAGGGCTAGGCGTAGGAGTAGGGTAGGAGTAGGAGTAGGAGTAGGAGTAGGAGTAGGAGTAGGAGTAGGAGTAGGAGTTGGAGTAGGAGTAGGGGTAGGAGCAGGAGCAGGAGCAGAAGTAGGAGTAGGAATAGGAGTAGGAGCAGCAGCAGCATCAGCATCAGCATCAGCATCAGCAGCAGCAAGCCCTGAACTTCACCTAAACCGGTTACGGCCCACGGTGCAGGAGCTTCATCCCATTCATTC